TTTTTTTTGCTAGGATGAGATTATTAACAAATCGAATCAAGAAAGTAGGTAACTTGACCAATGTTTCAAACTTGAAATTCTTACTCGATAAATATTATTAGATCTACACTTGCCATTCAAACTATGATACAAGTCATTTCAATTTACGGTATTGGTTTTCATTGTCGCCATTAATGGTCAACGATCGCCCGTCCTCGCTCGAAATCCTTGATTCGCTTACACCAGATGTTACACAAATGACATTCTCAGGCCTAATGTCCCCATGCCGAATTCCCCCCCAAAGAGGCAGTAGAAAGAGCAGATAAACAATCGTGGCAACATCTGATAGCCTCATCAAATCCGAATTGGCCCATACTTACCATGTCAGTAACAGTCGTGCCAACTGGGCTGGTTACCAAGACAGGAGTACCACACCAGGGGTGCTCACGATTACCGCCAGAGCATGGTCTCCGGCACTGACCAGGGTGAATTATGAATGGAGGATAGTTGACAAATGGAGGATTCTGAAAACATTTTTGTTAATAAAGGGATTATAAAAGTATTCCAGTGTATGTATTGAAGAAGACTGCACATTGTAAGAACAATTTATCCCCTTGTACGGAAACATTCTAATTTTAAAAAAAGACCTTTAACTAGTGAAAACAATTGAAAGAAAATTGAAATGTCACTAAATAGCTTAGAAGATATCACACAAAGACTAAATCGCCTATGACACTTTTCCCTTGACCAAAAATCCTGATTAACACTCACTCAAAATAGGAGAGAGATAATTAGAGATTTTTTGCAGCCATATATTAAGACCGACATGAATCGTGGAGAAAAAACATGTGGTGTGTATATTTTTATTCAATGTTATTAAGGGGGTTTTAGCATTTATTCCCATGTGCGATGCCCGATGATACCACCTTTTTCTTTGCTGTTGGATAAAATCTTTGTTTACCCAGAAGCTTTCAACTGAGCAAAACAACATTGATTTTTGCCTGGACTTATTTTTCAGTCAATATGATCATGTAACGCCGTCAAACAATGACCTATTGCCCATCTCTTTCTTATATTTTGCTATTGTCTGTCTTTGCAGTGTGTACGGAGAACCAATTCCAGTAAAAGAACTTGCAGAACTTGTTGCCAGTTACGTGCATCTATGTACACTATATTGGTGGCTCAGGTTTATTACTGCATCTGTTTAACTGCTTTATATATGTGATCCTAGTATGACTTTTGCAGGCCTTTTGGAAGTGGAGTAATTCTGGGAGGTTATGACAGGGATGGGCCTCAGCTGTACATGGTTGAACCTTCTGGAGTTTCCTATGTGAGTTGATTTATTTCCATTATTTGCAAATGATAACTATAGCATTTAATGTTTATTAAGCTCTAGAACTACTTCATATAAAGTTGGTCCTATTTGTTGAGGAATTTCTCATTGGGTTTATTTGGTAAAATGTTTGTTGTAG